TTTATAATCTGAAGTTTGTTTTAATTTTACCTCCCTGGATCTGGATTCTCCTACTCTCCCCAGATCAGAAAAAGTCCTTTAAGCCCAAATACTTAATGGCTTACCCTCTGGAAGGTCTGGATAAAATTCTTTGGAACGGCTGTGAGTTGTCTGAACACATACCCTTTTGTTTAAATGAAGCACAGAAGTGGATTCCAATTTAGATTTTTTCCCATTACTACTATACTTTGATCAGTGGAGATAATCGAGAATTGACAATAGACAGAATCAGAAGATATAACAAAAATGACTCTTTCCCCAGAAAGGGTTGTTTAAAGTACAAGTCTACACAACTAAGTACAACGCTTGTTTCAGTGAACGTTTCATTCCATTACAAAATACTGACACTTTTTTTACAGAGTGAACACAGAAATTTTCAAGTAAAATGTAATTCTCATCTCAACAAAACACAATTATCTATATCTATATCTATATATATTTATATATACACATATATATGGCATTGTACAAATATATATATGTATATATGTATATATATAGTACATATATATAGTACAAATATATATGTATATATATGTATGTATATGTATATATATACATACATATATATACATATATATATACATGTATATATAGCTTGGTACAAATAAACACCATATTTGCCCCCAAACTGTATTGTATTGAATCAGATATGTCACAGTTGTCAACCATTTGTTCAGTTCTTGATTACTGCTTATTTAGGGAACAAGGAATTTAAGTGTCAAATCACATGTATTTGTTGTGTGCATACATGTATGCATATACATATAGCATATACGTATCTTCGATCATATGCCAGTGTCAGGTAGGATTGATTTGACTGTTTTCAGTTTCCAGCATTTTTATGAATATTTTTCATTTATCATCATGAATATTCATGTTAATTTTAATTTAGTCCATTTTTTTAATGATATGAAACATAGGCTATAAGAGTGACTATAATTGACCCTTATTCTACAATTTTCTCTTTACCAATTCAAATCCTACTGGTGTTGCAAATTATACTTGTTCACCTTGTCAAACCTCTCCATAACCCAATTGAGAGGAATTCAAATTTGGAAAGGAGAGATTAAAAGACAAAGAACAAAAGTGCACATTAGGGCAAATTACTCAGTCCCTCAGGGATAGGTCAGGGTTCCATTCAATCAGCCTGAGAACAAAGGGAACTAACATTCCTCACCTCTAAACTCTGTTCTTATATTTTGTTTGCGTGAGAAAAGGCATTTATATGCAATAAAATCTATTAACTTTGTAACACTTTCATGGGGAGTCAGCTATAAGTTATATCAGCATCCCTCCATCTCTGATCTGAACATCAAATCCCTGTCCAGAGCAGGGTTATTGCTCCTGTGCTCTGGTTTCGTTGTTATAATGGGGCTCCTGTTTTATTTGAACTTTAAAAAAATAATGTACGTGGAATATTTCCATTTTATCAGAATGCTTGATATTCAGCATTCTATGTTCTAAAACCCTGTTTTTGTGTTTCCAATCTCATTCAGAATAATGTGCAAAGTATAAATCTTTGGGTAGCTAAAGATAATCAAAGGTTATAAAATGGTTTTCATTTCTACAGTTCCATGTGTATATCTCCATTTTTAAATTTAAAAGGACCTATTAACTCCTCTGAAACCTAGTGAATAAAAACTAATTAAAACACAATAATCAAATATACAGGTAATTTCCATAACATGACATTGGAACTTATTTGTATTCAATATATATCTCCATACTGAAAAAAGTGTGGCTCAGCTTTTCTCTCATGATGAATATAACGCTGTCACCTTTAATGGATATTACCTGCACTAAACTAATTTATAATACGCTATGGTTAAGTTTCTCTTTCCTTTGTTTTATCTTTTCCCTTCTTTCATGCTTTTTCCTTCCTATCTTCCATCCTTTCCTCTTTTTCTTCTTTTCTTCCTTTAATGGTCCTTTTTCCAAAAAGCATGTAAACTGGCTTAAGAGATTAAACTACCAAACACTAAACTAAAAAGCAAATAAAGCCAGTATATAAACTATCAGGCTGTTTAATTGTCTGGGCTTTAGCTTCTTCCACATTCTCTCTAACATTTTTATTACTCTCTTAGTTTTTTTTTTGTTGTTTTGTTTTTTTTTTTAATCCCCTTTCCCATTATCTGCTTAGCAATCAGGTTGAGCTGAATTGGCTCACAAATATGCATCTTATACTTTGAGATTTAATAAGAATGGCACCTTTCTGCTGTTGAGAAAAGTTTAAGCCAATAACTTTAGAAAATTTATTGCCAGCCAGAAAACGAATGGTGCTTCTTAGACAGCAGTTGTGTGAATGAGCATATGTAGGCACATTTTTAAAATTTGCTTTATTTCTCTAGTTCCCATGACTCGTGAAGAGCTTTGGCATCCACTGCCCCCATGACCTGTTGAAATTTCCTGAGCTACCTCTCAAGCCAAATGCAAATATAACAGAAGAAGCCTTTCCCAGTTTGAACACACAGACTCACATAAAACATATACATGCTGACATGGTATATGTGCATTTTGTTTAACATAAGCTCATCATGCCAGCATGAGACTATAAAAACATGGTGCTCAGTTTTGAAATCCAAATCATTTTCCTTAGCAAAATGGAAACAATCTACCCAAATCTCTGCTGTTTTAGTAGAAGCTTTGACTTCTTACAAATATACCTTCCTGGAGGCTTTTGCGTATTTCAGGGAAGAAGCCACAGCTTTGAATCCCATGTACATAACGACACAGGGAAAAAGGGAGGAAGATTCAAGTATTTCTCTTTTTTTATTGCATTTTATACTACAGGAGCTTCTCCTTAAAAAATATAGCAACTTTGTCATGCCAGACAACAAAATAAATGGGGCTCAAAGCATGGGTGCACTTTCTTGGCAAAATCATTGAAAAGTTTGTGTGTATGGGGTCTCACATTCTTGACTCTTTCAGAACTTTGAAGACAGTCATTTGTGGCTATTTTGCAAAATAAACATATTGATTTTTTTCTCTATTGGCCATCAGTGAAGGAGGATGAAGAATAAGATGGAGGCAGAAGTGGCAAAGACAGCAGACTACACAGGCAGGTATGGCACCAAATAACAATCAAGCTTGGAAAAAAAATCATGAAGAGACCAAGAGCAGGCCCATAACTGAGCAACATAAGCAAACCTTTATAATGCGTTTCACTCAGAATTATTATAAAGTTGTATAACATTCCTCTAAAAGAAGCCTTCTCCCATGCAAGGATTTATGAACATTGCCAATAAGACTCAAAGAAGGAAACAGGCTTCTTGATGGTGTTCTCAATCTCAAACACCTCTGCAAATGCCAACAATGCAAGTGATAAAAGCCAGTGATGGTTTGGACTACATCTAAATGAGGAAAAGACAATGGAAATGAAGCTCTGGAGGCAGTGATGAACAATGGGTACTGAGAGGATGATGGAGAGTAACTCTGCCAGTAAAACTCGCTTAGGTGAGGTTGTGGAGTCTGAGATCCACAAAGATGCTCTGTGCATCCATATAAATAATAAGATTTAGAAAGTAACAAATGAAAGCACACAAGGCAAGCTAAACAAAAAGCACTCGGTTCCACAGGTGCTATATACAGATGGACATGAAAGCTGAATGGTATGGGAAACTATACCATTGAGGCTGAAGATAAGAAAGGAAGCAAGGGAGATGCAATGTTTTGATCACTTCTTGGCAGAGAGAATCTTGGTTATTACCAACTTGGCAGAAAGGACACACTGCAAGACAGATTGCTCTTGGTTGTTGAAGAATGTTGAAGCAGGATCATTTTGGAAATGCAAAGAGGTGACTATGCTTTGGGAAGAGGCACAAAACAGCAATTTACTGGGCTCTAGGTGAGACTGCATGGAACAGGCTTTCCAAATGGCATCTCCATGCAAACCAGATCAGCTCTTTTCCCAGCTATGTTTTCTGCAAGCCAAACAATATAGGAACTGAAATCTTTGGGTTCAAGAATGATTTTTCCACATATTTTTTTTATCAAATGGTCAACCTGCTGAATTTCTGAAAATGGCTTGAGGAAGAACTGAGCTTCATGACCAATCTGATTTTCACAAGGCATTCACCATATTGATAATGCTCTGTTCCTGGTAATGCCACACTTAAAATGGCAGCATCATGGTTGACTGGGAAAAGAACTAAAGGTAGCAGAGCCACACTTTGGAATTTGCAAATAGTTTATAATAGATGGCACCTTGTGTTGAAAGAAAGGGACTGAGGGAGGAAAAGAAGCCAAGGTGAAGAACCTCAACACATACATTGGAAATCTTGCCAAGAAATCATGATTCTTCTATTCATTGAACTTCTTGTTTCTTTTCATTTGATTAAAATGGGCCAGATACTTATATTTTCATGAGAAGGGAAACACTGAAGTGATTGAACAAAGGATATATAATTGTTAGTGTTTGACAACCATGTTAGTTTTTGGCAACAGCACATCAACCTGTGTTAAATTCAAACATTTTCTGGCTTTTAAGTGTTACTGATAACCTAGTATGCATTGGAACCTGATGAATGAATTCCTATTGTTTTCATCATCTCTAACATGTGAACACAATCCACACATAGAGAGGCTTGCTCCTGAACAGAGAATGAAAATTGCTAGGACTAACAGAGGGAAGTAGACTTACAATGAGTAAATATACAAAAGCCCCAAATAATTATAATAGTCACAGCTTGGCAATGAGTTTCCAGACTATGAAATTAGTTTTCTTGTGAAGAATGGAGATTTTACAAGGCTAGTATAAACATGGGGTAATTGGAAAATCAAACTGTTCTTTGTGAGTTATTGTAAGGTCTGGAATAATAGTGATAACATTTATTTTTTTTAAAAAAAACTCCCTATAAATCACTGTAGTTTGGGGTTTTTAGCAGTACTGTTGCCAAGAATGCTTGCCTTGGAAGTACAACAGTGGGAACTTGAATTGTGAAGCCCAGGTCCCAGCTTACCCCTGACACAATGAGCTCTCCTCCCAGATTCTGTACTTCGGCTTTCACCTTGCTGCAGATATTAAGTTGATGGCAATACAAGGCAATTCGTTGAAGGTAGGCTAATAAATCCTGCTTACATGCTGAATCAGGACACTATAAAACATTAAAAAAAAAGGTCATCTCAATTAGTACGTACTCTTCAGTTTCTAATACTTGCTATATAAAAGCTGTGAGAAGAAAAGGTTTCACTGTCATATACCTTAATTACAACCATTCAACTTAACTTCTTTATAGTGCATTTTAGGAAGGCCACAGCCAATAGGTTAGAATGGTTAGCTCTACTTTGATAAATTCTATACAAAAAATATTGATGATCTCCCGGAAAGTCTTATTGGGACTTCCGGATACATTTATGAGTATTTTACCAATTATCTTCTAAACTGCTAAGAAAACAATATTCTATAGGTTTTTCCCGAGTGGCCCATTCAACGTTCACTACATGCAAAGTTATTTTAACACAGAGAACAAAGCAACAGGTGCTAGAAGGAAATCATCCTGTGTGGCAGTCTCTCTGCCGTAGTACAAGATAGAGTTTTAATTCAGTTAGTTGGGGGAAAATGCACTTGTTTCTTTTGGCTTTCTAAGACAAGTATCATTCACTAAAGGAACTCTATTATACTTCTTGGAATTCCATATTTATCCAAATTTTAGCAACATGATAAACTTCCTTTAAACAAGAGACTCTGAGAAGGATCAAGACCACTGTAAAAGAAAAAGATTTGAGTGAAATGAATTTGAAGCCAATTGAAATAAGCTCATAAGTGTAACAATAAGACCCTTCAAAGGATGCACCAAAGATTTTGAATTCTCAAAAAAATTCTGGTGACCATAGATTTTTAATTCTCTTTGTAACTTAAGTGGGTAGATATCCATCAAATACACACTGAGCAGAGCTGAACACTTCCACAGACATTTACATGATTCCCTAAAGCATTTCTGAAGCTTCAATGCCAATGGCTATCCAGTAATTGAAATATATTTCTATTGCTATCCAAAGTTCAGCTCAAAATTCTCCAGGACATTCTATTGTTCCGACTCAATCTGACACTTGCAAAGGACATATAATCACCAGATCCTTGATGAAACATTGTAAGAAATGAGTACCTACAGCCCAAACCAAAGTATGTTATTTAGAATAAGAGTGTGAGACAAAGACTCAAGCTAAGTTTCCTTCAAGCTCAAGAAAGGGAATTCTTTCATTAATACTGTGAAGCCAGTCATTTGACACAGCTATTTATCTAATAAATGACAAAGGGGTCTTTTGTATACATAACACTTACCATTGTGGTATTTTTTTCACTAACTGCATTTATCAAGAAAGAATCCCACAGAGACTGTTTTTAGCTTCCTACAAGTACTTAATACTGTAATATTTATCCTACTCCAGAGACTCATATACTGAAAAGAAATAACTTTAAAATGATATCTCCCTAGAGGGCTGACAAGGCTTTTGATACAAATACCTTGTAGCAAATTAAAATGGAAGTTCTATCTCAATGGAACAGTAATTAAAAATGCAACAGTCCGTAAAAAGTTTATATTGTGTGCATATCTCAAATCTTCATAAAAATATTTTCCAGCAAGATAAAGGCAAGCAACAGACATTTTGGAAATGCTCATTCTATTCTATTATTTAAACTAAAGTATTTAAAACACACATAAAGGCATGATGGGCCAAGAAAAATAACTCTTATACCATGGAAATAGTAGAAATGGGTGCAAAATTTGAGAAAGAAATGCCCCATTCAGATGAAGCATTAGCAAAAATTGCAAGTTGCTCCACAATTGATGATAAGAAGAATACCACAAAGAGAGTGTTATGTTTAACTTCATCTCTTTTTTGTTGTTGTTGTTACATCATCAGTAAATAGCATTTTAATATTTTGTCACACTCTCAAAATACCTCTTGAATCCTGGGATATTTGTGTGTGTACATGTGTGGTGTGTTTTCCAGATACCAAAACTGTTTGGGGCTATGCTTCATGTTACATGATTGTTGGAAATAAGTATCCAAAATTACAAAATCAAAAATAAGAATCACAATAAAAAACTATTGACCTCAAGGAGCCTAAACATATTGAGAAATAGTTTCAGCCACTGAGATTCAGAGTATAATGGAAAGGCCATCCAAACTCCATCCACTCTCACTCCTAAGGAGTCTGTCCAAACACAACCTGGTTTCAGAACCACCCACCAATCTCTGGTCATTCCACTCATTCCAACATTTTGCAAACAATTCCCTCAACATTTGCAGAAAAAATGCAGCATTCTTTCCTGGCTGGCGCATTTCTGTATGTTTGCATGTATGCATGAATATTTTCAAGTAAGTTCGTTGTCTCTCCTCTCTTTTATTTTTTAAATTTTTTAAAATAAATATTATTATTTATTTATTTTTATTTTGGCTGTGCTGGGTCTTGGTTGCCACACACGTGCTCCGTAGTTGAGGCCAGCAGCTCCTTAGTTGTGGCGTTTGAACTCTTAGTTGTGGCATGCATGTGGGATCTAGTTCCCTGATCAGGGATCAAACCCATGTCCCCTGCAGTGGAAGGCAGATTCTTAACCACTGCACCACCAGGGAAGTCCTTCCCCTCTCTCTTTTTTTTTTTTTTTTTTTTGCGGTACACGGACCTCTCACTGTTGTGGCCTCTCCCGTTGTGGAGCACAGGCTCCAGACACGCAGGCTCAGTGGCCATGGCTCACAGGCCCAGCCACTCCACAGCATGTGGGATCTTCCCAGACCGGGGCACGAACCCGTGTCCCCTGCATCGGCAGGCAGACTCTCAACCAATGCGCCACCAGGCAAGCCCCCTCCCCTCTCTTTTACATGAACTTCCTGGGTTACATATGGAGCTCAACCTATGTTGCAAACTGTAGGAAGCTTGGCAGTTGGCACTGTCCTGAAATTAGCAATTTAATAATGTTACAAATTTCAATTCCTACAAATTTCAGGAAATTCTCAAATTATGATAATATTTAAATGAATTAACTATACTATTGAGTATTCCTCAAAAATGCAAAAGAAAGCAGAAAACATTCCCTCAGATTAGCCATCATATGTATAAAAAAATGTTAAATTGAGACAATCTGTAGGCTTATTTTAAATGTAATCCTAATAGTTTAATCATGTATTTTTCTTTTCAGACTTTGGAAGATGAGTAAATCTAGTATTGACTTGAAGGATTCTAAAATCGGGGATGCTGAAGACAACAAGGATTTAGAGAAACAGTCATATTAAGGAATGAGGGAGAACAATTATAGTAAGCAACTCAAAAATCACAGGAGGGCCAGGAGGGGAAGATGGCAGAAGAGTAAGACGTGAAGATCACCTTCCTCCCCACAGATACACCAGAAATACAACTACGTGTGGAACAACTCCTACAGAACACCTACTGAACGCTGGCAGAAGACCTCAGGCCTCCCAAAAGGCAAGAAAGTCCCCACGTACCTGGGTAGGGGAAAAGAAACGAGAAAAAACAGAGACAAAGTTAGGGATGGGACCTGCACCAGTGGGAGGGAGCTGTGAAGGAGGAAAGGTTTCCACACACTAGGAAGACACTTCGCGGGCGGAGACTGCAGGTGGCGGAGGAGGAAAGCTTCGGAGCCGCGGAGGAGAGCACAGCAATAGGGGTGTGGAGGGCAAAGCAGAGAGATTCCCGCCCAGAGGATCGGTGCCGACCGGCACTCACCAGCCCGAGAGGCTTGTCTGCTCACCCGCCGGGGCGGGCAGGGCTGGGAGCTGAGGCTCCAGCTTTGGTCGGAGTGCAGGGAGAGGACTGGGGTTGGCTGCGTGAACACAGCCTGCAGGGGTTAGTGCACCACGGCTACCCGGGAGGGAGTCTGGGGAAAAGTTTGGACCTGCCAAAGAGGCAAGAGACTTTTTCTTCCCTCTTTGTTTCCTGGTGCGTGAGGAGAGATGATTAAGAGCGCTGCTTAAAGGAGCTCCAGAGATGGGCGCGAGCAGCGGCAAAAAGCACGGACCCCAGAGACGGGCATAAGACGCTAAGGCTGCTGCTGCCACCACCAAGAAGCCTGTGTGTGAGCACAGGTCACTATCCACACCCCCCTTCCGGGGAGCCTGTGCAGCTCGCAACTGCCAGGGTCCCAGGATCCAGGGACAACTTCCCCGGGAGAATGCTCGGCACACCTCAGGCTGGTGCAATGTCAGGCAGGCCTCTGCTGCCGCAGGCTCGCCCCACACTCCATGCCCCTCCCTCGCCCCAGCTTGAGTGAGCCAGAGTCCCCGAAGCAGCTGCTCCTTTAACCCCGTCCTGTCTGAGCGAAGAACAGACACCCACTGACGACCTACACACAGAGGTGGGGCCAAATCCAAAGCTGAGCCCCTGGGAGTTGTGAGAACAAAGAAGAGAAAGGGAAATCTCTCTCAGCAGGCTCAGGAGCAGCGGATTAAAGCTCCACAATCAACTTGATGTACCCTGCATCTGTGGAATACATGAATAGACAATGACTCATCTCAAATTGAGGAGGTGGACTTGGAGAGCAAGATTTATTATGTTTTCCCCTTTTCCTCTTTTTGTGAGTGTGTATGTGTATGCTTCTGTGTGAGATTTTGTCTGTAT